GCGGAGGTGGGCCGCGGGGGCCTGCGACGACGAAGGACAATGCAGGACCGTGAAAGAGGGAGCAAGGGTATAGTCTCCATGGCATCGGACAGTACAGAATAGTCAATAGTCCATACCATATGATACTTTATAAGTACTATACTGTAGTATACTATACTATACTATACTACATTATACTATATTATACTATATTATACTATATTATACTATACTAGACTATATTAGACTATATTATACCAAATTATACCATATCATACTATATTCTACTATATTGTACTCTCTTTTTCCATATTGTAGCTGGAGCAGTATCGGGCCTGGACCTCGCGTGCGACCTGTGCGCCGGGCACGAAAGCCTCGCTGCAAAGCCACACTCCGGCGGTGGCGGCGGCGGCAACAGTGAAAGTCTTGGCCTCAACGAATTTAGGGTTTAGGGCTTTAGGGTTTGGGTTTTAGGGTGACCTCAATGAGAACTGCAAGCCCTCTGCACCCCAATCCCCCTAGCACTCCAAAGGCTGAGGTGCCGACGGCCATCTTGGCTTTATGAAAAAAGCCTATTGATAAAATCCTTGCGGATCTGTGGATCTATTTCAGAGCCGCTGCTGCGGAAGGTCAACGAACTGCACTGACCAGAAGCGAAGAGACTCGAATACTGATGTTAAGAGCTGCTGAAAGCTGCGCTTGATGTCAAGTTCCACTGAGCTTTTGGTATCTTGTGTTTGTGTGCTTGTTTTTGTCTTTGCTTGTCTGTTTGCTTGCGTGTTTTGTTATCTTACAAGAAGCGCGAAGCAGAAGAAGCGATGCATCTGTGATCTGCCGCCTCCACATGGTTCCGCGACCCAACTTTTTGTGTTCCAACAGTCGAGTGGACAGCACGCTTTGCGGCGAAGGCATGCCATCTCACCACTGCTTAGTCTTCACGAAACAAGTCCGTCTTCTGGAAGGCTGAAGTTGTTCTGTTCGCTGCTTGAAAGAAGTACCCGAAATGCAACAGTGTGTTGATGAGATGAGACGCCAGAAACGGACGGGTGGTAAAAGACCTGTCTTCAAAAAGATCACTTGTTGTACCAGCCGAGGCCGTTGGCAGGCTTGTATGGGCTCAGCTTGTTGTCGTAGTAGTCGCCGTTCCAGCGGATGGGCTCATCGGACTTAGTGAGCCATAAGCTGCAAACACACTACATACTTCTGAAGCTGGTTCTTGCGAAAACCTGCTTACAAAATACAGCCGACAGGTCTGTTGACAACTTCTGACAACTGCCCTACCCCGACCACAACCTCCGCCCCAGGCACGATGCCGTAGACTTTCTCGACTCGCTCGATGAGCTTCTTGTTGTACTCATCCCAAATGGGCTTGAAGGCCTCGGAGCCCGCAACCACATGCCACAGCGTGAAGCTAAAGCAAAAGCAAAGGAGGTTCCTGTGACTCCTGCTCCTGCGCCCTTGCTTCAGAGAAGGTGTGGAGTGCATCCAAGTGACCGCAGCCTCTGGGCGAATGGGATACGTGCCATCGGTGGTGTTCACGATGCCCGAAGGCTCGATGAACTGATCGATCTTGTACTTGCGGTAGATACCGCCACCGGTGGAGGAAGCGCTGTACTTGGGGTCCTTGCCGTCGCTCTCCCTGTTGTACTTCCTGCAGGATCGCGTTCCATGTCGTAAGTACCGTAAGACCAAACGTTGCAGCAGCGCCTGAAGTCTGAAAAGAACTTGTAAACTCACAGCTGATGTCTACAACGAGCCTTCTACAAAAGCGACCTACACCCAGTCTCCCGTCGCAGACATGGTGCGTCAAACCGTCCTGTAGTAGGCCTTGGCCCAGCGGAACTGCTCCTCCTTGGTCTTGCAGTCGACGCGGATGTCGCAGCCCTGCCCAGTAAGTAACATGCAATCAGCTGGCGAAACACCTCTACGTGTCAAGTACAGACAGCACCAAACTCTTGGGAAGTACAGGCATCGCTGGCTTGAAAAAAATTGGTTCCAGAAGTGCTCCGTCCTTGGCGAGAATCTCCTCATCCGTGGGCTCCTGAGCAGAAGTAGTGGTGAAGCCACCGAAAGTGAGAGGGCAGTCAGGCCCCAAGATGTCCTTGGGCTTTGCTGCCTCCTCCTCGGCCAGGACTGGGGAGGCCGTGGCCACGCTCAGGAGCAAGCCCAGTGCGATGCCGCCCTTGGCAAAACATCCCAAGTTTGAGCCCCTAAACCCTAAACCCTAAACCGACCAGTGACTACCCAGAGACCAATGGTCCAGAGGAACATTGCTGGGAAATGTGCTGCGCAGCATGTCCGGGACGGGTATGTTGAGGATAACTAGACTAGTGTAAAATAGTTTAGGGTTTAGGGTTTAGGGTAGTACGATCCAGTTTAGTGTAATATTAAATAGAGAAAAACTGCGCATCATATGTCACAGCACATTTTGTAGTTGAAAGTGTGGCAAGGCGAGGCCAACGGTTCAGCGAGCTCACCTGGCCTCTAACTACCGGTATAAACTAGAATGCCCATCCGCTCAACAAGCCCTAAACCCTAAACTCTGAAACCCAGCCTGCGTCACATCTCGGACCTGCTGCTCCAAACTAGGGTTTCGCCCCGGGGCTCCATGATTTTTTCTAGCCAAACCCGAAAGCAAAAAGACCCAATCCTGCGAAACATTCCGAGGCAGTCCGTGCTACCATATGCTGTATACAATACTATACTATACTAGGCTATACTATATTGTACCATACCATGCTAGACTATGCTATGCTATGCGAAAAGCTACTATACTCTACTCCACTAAACTACACTATACTATATTAGCCCGCATGAAGCCTAGCCCGGGCGCGAGAAGTCCCGGCAGGTGGCCGAAGGTGCCTTCCTCGGCACCCGGGGATGCCCCGGCCTCCTCATGGTTCGGTTTAGGCTTTAGGATTAAGGGGCTTAATAATTCGAATAGGGTTCTGGGTCATTATTCTTACAAAACAAGTATCATAAGAAACCTCAAAATAATACTGGTATTTATCTAAGCCCCTATGGTGTTCGGCTATTGGGTATCAGTGCAATTGGGGTGTTAGGGCAAGTACAGTAAGGTATTCAGGGCATTTGGTCTTTTTTACAGCAAGGCAGTTGGGCAAAGGGGCTTTCAACTGGTGGCGGCGGCGGTGGTGGTGGTTGGTAGTGGCACTGGTAGGGGTGGTAGGGGTAGCAGCAGCATCAGCAGCAGCAGTAACAAGATTCATACCAATAACAATACTAGTACCTGTAAGTCGTGCAAGCAATCACTAACAATGCTGATCATAGCAATAAAGTATCATCATATATCATTATGAGGTTGCTTGACATAGCACCATGCGGAATTGCTGGAAAATCAGTAGCCCTGAAGAGAATCGATGCCAGGCCCAGCAGCTCGTGAAGTCGAATAGCGGTACAGGGTTCGAAACAAGAACTCATGGTATACCTCCCTACTTTAGGCTTTAGGGTTTAGGGTTTAGGGTTTAGGGGCAGTATAAGTATAAGGAAACCCTCTTGGCCCATTGGTAGTCATTAAGGCTATGGTCATCCCACCAACTCGTACTCGCTCAAAACCCCAGCTTCGAGAAACCCAGTTCCGCAGTTTCTGCATCCGAGGCCCATAAATTCTCTCTTTGACTGATTGCACGAACAGCCCACATACTACTAATAAGAATAAAGTAGTGACCATCATAACCACCATACACTCGAACCCGGAAGAGTCTTAGTATGCATTTGCTGATCGATGATAGTGACTGCCAATGGCTACTAATCACCACTCGCCACTATGTGATAGGGCCATTTTCATCTGAGCTTCTCCAGCCCTCACAAACCACTAGAAATCATCACTACGACTTGTTTAGCCTGAAATATTCAGACTGAACTAGTCATTAAAGTGCTCCGTCAGCATCACTCAGTCTCTCAACCCCTCACCCCTAAACCCTAAACCCCTAAACCCCTAAACCCTAAACCCCTAAACCCCTAAACCCCTAAACCCCCAAACCCTAAACCCCGAAACCCTCAACCCCCGTCCTGCTGGCTGCCAATGCGAGGGATCGAGGAAGGCGCCGAGCTAGGAATGAGGCCCGGCACGAAAAGCAGGCTTCCTGACTAGGACACCGTTTTGTGATTACTAATTACTACACTACTCTTATTGATATTCTTATGATCATTCTTACTACTATTCTTAACACGATGCTTATTGCTTATTACTATTCTTATTGCTATTCGGATTACTAGTCTGCTTACTATTCTCATTGCGATGATTGCTACCCGCCTTCTTCTAATTAGCATTCTTCTTATTGTTACTCTGTTTGTGCTTCTCAATATATGATTATTATTTTGAGGAGCTTGCCGAACTGGAGTTGCAGGTTGAGGGTTTAGGGCTTAGCGTTCGTGGTGTCCGGTTTTGGGGCTTCGTTTGGCGGTGGTGTGGGGATCTAAGCTCTACCCTTCAAGCCCCCCAACCAGAAACCTTACCTGTTCAACCTCTTCGATACCATCTCCCAACACACTCTACATCCTAAAGCCCTGGAGTCATTCCCAAAGCCGCAAAGCCTGAAAACGCTAAGACCACCAAAAGAAGCTGTACGTGCCGTCAGCACCTGTGAGTGCGCAGCTGCCGACAACAGCCTGGGTCGACAACGTCTGAAATTCGGAAAGCCGTGTGGTTGTTAGGGCTTTGGATTGATAGGGTTAGGGTTTAGGTTTAGGGTTTAGGGTTTAGGGTTTAGGGTTTAGGGCCAGGGCTTGTGACATGTATGTAGGTTTGGGCTTAAAGGGCAACAAACATGCTGATTGGATGAGGGGCATGAATACAGTTCTGCAGCTCAACACGGAGATAACTGAAAGCGTCAGAAGTTTTGACAGGGGTTGCGCACACTTCGCCTTAGGACCGTGTTTTTCGACAGTAATCAGGGGGCTAAACGCTTCGGGAGAGCTGCAGGGGCTTCTGGGGTTAAGCGGTTCAGGGGTCTAGGAGTTGAGGCATCGCTCAAAGAAGGCTCGGCACTGAAAGACGAAAAGCTGCAATCACGATGAGAAATTCTGATAAGGAGCCCTACAGTGCAGAATAACGGTTGATTTAGGCGCCTGGCTTAGCTCTGGAAAGTGCAACTGCTGCCACCACAGCCAACAACTTTAAGTAAAATGGACCCTGAACTAATCCTCTTCTGCGGCAACGCAGCCGCCATCATCGTCCCCCTGCTGCGCGCCATGGACGGAGACTCTTTGCAAAAGCGGATCTCACACTCTGCTGGCCAACTGCGACAAACAGCCGCGTCATCGAGTTTAGGGCGAGCGTTTAGGGTTCAGGGTAACTTGTGGCCTGAAGCTTGGGGCACGGGCCAAACAGGCAAGTCTTGCTGCGCAGTAGCACTAGGACCTGCTCGGGGTTGTTGTTGCAGCAGGTTGGTGTCGGTTGGTGTCACGACTAGCCGCCAATACCGAAACAACCACCCCACCACCACCACATCCCCACCACCAACACCCCCACCCCCAACACCACCGCCATGACAACTTCCACTGCTAGCACCAGCATCGCAGGACTTGGAGGAAGTGGCTGTTGGGCTACAGGTTCGCTTCATGCTAGCTGACTCATGCACAGGAAGACGCCGCTGGAAACATGAAACAGTCGGTCTTTCACTGATCGTTGGCGCTTGTCCCGCGATCAGCACGGCACGGCCTTGGGATCCGGCTTGCTGGTGCTGACGACAGTGACAGGGATCATCACGATGATGATGATGATGACGATGATGATGATGACGAGTCTCACGATCATGACGAAATTGATGATGCTGGCCTTGTTGCTGCTAATGAAGCTGCTGATGCTGATGATGACGATGATAATGTTGAAGGTGATGATGTCCATAATGACGATGATGACCACAGTGATGATGCTGGTGCTGCTGATGCTGCTGATGCTGCTAATGCTGCTAATGCTGATGATGCTGGTGATGACGACGACGACGACGA